GAAAAACAAATATTTGAACAATTAATAAAAGAGGAGCGAGGAGACAAAAATTACTCAATCAAATAGAATAAACAATTTTTTATTTTTGTTTAAGCTACCCCAAACAAACATAATGATGAACAAATAAAGGGACAAAAGAAAGGGAGACTCTGAAGGACTTTAGGATTAGCACTCGACTTTATTTATTTATGTTTTGATAGGCTTCCGTGTAGAGACTAACAAAACCAAAGTTTGTCGCTTTAAGCCTGAGTCGATGTCATCATATCCATAGGGCCTAAACTACCCCTACCCTACCACCGCATGCTTAACGTCTCTACAAGGTGCCTATCGTCCCCGCTTAAGGTCCAAGAGGCATTGGACTGCTATTAGGGTGAATTTAGACAAAGATAAAATATAGTAGGCCCACCTAGACACCAAGTCAAATAATTTGGACGAGCATTTAGCACACAGAGTCTCATATTGGCCTCTAGATCAGTTTATTAACATGTTTGCAAACAACACATAATTAGTGAAGGTCTCATGCTAAGTGTGTGCACATACGAACATAACAGTATTATAACAGGCAATACAACAACATGAATACTTAAAAGAGTGGCAGAAAGTTATTATAAGATGCAGATTTTAACTATTTATTGATCAAATTAATTAGAGAAGATTAGCTTAAAAATGAAAAACATGTGGCAGAAACATTTAAAGCAGTAGCAGATTTTAAAAGACATGCATAATATAATTATTAATTAATTTGAGGTGATTAGAAAGTAGATCACAAAATACAAGAAATAAATATATTTTTATTTTATTTTTATCTTATTTTATTTTACAAAGCATGTAGCAAATCAAAATGATTTATTAGCATATTTTTCAGTAGCAGATAGAGCAGAAATTAATTGGTTTTAGCCAGATTCGATTTAGGAAGCAGATTTTTATTTTAAAACAGAAGTTCACTCTTTCATTTATTAATGTGCTGATTAACATCTCAACCTATTAATTATTTCCTATAGGCATGATTTCTAGATGTGAATATGCTGAAAATATTATCAAACCCATAAGAACGATATCTATTTCATTTTAACAAATTGTTAACCATATAGGCATGACATTTCTCTAATATGTAACACAGGTTAAACCTATGTGCATGATTTCTAAGCCCAAAACATATTGAAAATTATTTAGATCCTATAGGCATGCTTTCTACCTTTATTTTACTATGCTTATATTTTATATATACAAGGAAACAAATGTCATCAATAAGAAGGCAGAATATATTCAAACGAAATCGCTTTAGTTATTTAACATGCTGAAAGAATGACTTTAACAAGTTGCTCTATTGAATATATTATTTTGATCCTATAAGCACAATTTCTAAATGAATATGCTAAAAAAATTTAATGGAGCCTATATTAACAAATAACACATATGGCAAATTTAGCACAAAAGTTAAGATTTTAATCCTTTTAAGTTTATTAGCAATGCTAAAAAAGTTTGTTAAGCACATGAAGTTGAGATCTGGATATACTATAGTTAACGAACTCTTATTAATTCAAGTTAATTAATTAAGAGACTGTCGATTGTTATTATGCGACATAGTTAAAGGTCACTCATTACAAATTTGTTGATTTAAAACTATACAATCACAACTAACAGTTGATTTTAGTTGGATTATTAAAGGAATTCCTTCATAATTAAAATATATGTGTAGCAATCATATAACAAAAATAAACTAAACTAAAAATGGAAATAGACAATTAGCACGTATATATCCCCCTCCCCCTAGGCGATCCCCAAGTTATATCACATATAGAGAGATAGTGTTTACAAATTATTACAAGACAACTAATAGAAATTAGATGATATACAAAACATAAAGAAAACACATTCAGCTTGTCTAAAGTTTTCCTTCCACGGCAGCTCTTCAATATCTTGAATCTTAAAACCCAAGATCCTGCTAAAGCAAGAGAAATACAACCAGATATATGTAAAACAAAATACGTGTGACGAAATATTATTCACATACATAGACTCACGATCACTTAAGAAAATCACACAAACGTATCACATAGAAGAGAGGGGTGAAGATTGACCCGGTCGTCTCTTTGTTCATGTAAACAATAGAATATGTGAACTAATATATTAATGCAAGGCAATGAGTTATATTGATCAAAGGAAACTAACCAATTAAGCAGATTAATTATTCAGCAAAGACGTCAAGTGAACTCCAAGGATCAACCCGAACACGGCAAAAACCAAGTAAAGCAATATTTCTCCAACTGTTCACCGGATCTTTAAATTCTTTTATGTAGAGAGTAATATGATTTTTCTTTTAAAGTATACTAGTATGTGAGCCAAGATGTCTGAGTCCAAAATAATGAGAGGATGCCTCGTTTATATACTAAGTGAGAGGGCACAATAATAAGGGAAAGGAATAATTTTAGGTCCCATAAATAATATGCTTTCCTTAAACGAAAGGAGTATAAAATCAGTCCCATATTTATTTATTCTTTTTACCAATTATAAACAAGTAAGAAATCTGGTTAAGCTTAAATAAGGTGAGAAAATATTCACTAACATATATTTTCCTTGTTAAGAAGGAAGCCAAAATCAGATTTTAAAATATTGTTTTTTACCATATATAAACAAGTAAGAAATCTACCAATTTTAATTAAGGTAACATGATCAATTTACATACTGATGACATGTGAAATCAAGTAAGACAAGTGATAATTGATTCAAAGGGAATGCATGATTACAGCTCAAAATACGTCAATATAATTTTACTAACCGGGCAAGTAAAAATAGAGTGGCATACGGTAAGAATTAATTTCAAATTGTCAATTAGGTGATAAGTTAAACCAGCAAGAATTAGTCCAGACAAAGGAATCCAATAAAGATATCAACTAAAATCAGAATTATGGAGAAATTCAAGCAAGGATATATATATATATATATATATATATATATATATATGCAGAAGGAAGGACAGTGAAGGCTTACCCATTTTGTTACATCAAGAGGGCGTAAATATGTTAATCATATCCTATAAACAATTTACACCGATAGTCATTGTCACAAGAGCAATATTGATAAACAAATAAATAGTATAATCACAATGATCATTATTGAAGCTAATTAAAATCTCTATCCAAATCCGCCAAAATCAGATTCAAGATGGAGGAAAATAAGCAAGAGGAACATTATGCAATTTCTTGCAATACGATTATTAATAGCAACTCTCAACTTAATCACATATAGCTTGAACATCAAAACTATATTAAACCGTGGCAAAATTATACTTAAATACATACACAAGATAGAGTTCTAACATAATATACTAACGAAAAATATTGCTATTAATATAGAACAACAACCCACATGCATCAATATTTAAGTCTTAAAAGTAAAATTTTATACCTGGGACAGATCTGTCCTTATCGAAATACTTTGTGGATTCGTCGGAGGTCGCCTGCCGGAGCTGTTGTTCGCTGGCCAGAGCAGTATCTGCCAGAGTCGGTGCTTGTTGTTGCTGCTGGTTGCTTGCTGCTCGGAGCGGCTGGCTCTGCTGGTCGCTGGTCGGTGTGCTGCCAGCGATAGAGGCGCTGCTGGCTGCTGGTTGTTGCTGCTGCTTTCGCTGGAAAAAGAAGAGAAGAGATGAAGTGCAGCAGCCTCGCTGCTGCTACTGGTGGTTGGAGACCAGGGGTGGAGCTATGACATGGCGAGGGTGGTCAGATGAACAACCTTCGTCGGAAAATTTTTACGAGTATATATACTAAATATCAATTTTTTTGGATATATACTAACAGTTGAACAACCTTGACACAATAAAGGTTGACAGCCCAGCGGTTAAGGTTGTGCAAAGATGCCTCAACGTTTCGGGTTCAAGCCCAAGTGGTGGCGTTTTCTTTAAAAATTTTCATTATTCCATTTGTTCTCTTAGAAAAGGCAAAACTCAGTCTGGGTTCGATCCCAAGCTTGAACATTTCATTTATTTAATATTTGTTCCGTTTTTCTCTTAAGAAAAAGTACAAAAGTTACCTTTTTTTAAGTTAAGAAAAACAAAAGGAAATAAAAGGTCTATTTTTTACTTTTCTTAATTTAAAAAAAAAATAGATTCATAGTTGTCTTTTCCTTTTAGTTTTTTGACTTCTTCACTTCTCCCAAAAACCCTTTACAACTTTACTCTTTACCTTTCTCTCTTCTCAACTTTCATACATATTTGCAAGTTTTAAGAAATTGGAAGCTTTAATCATTGTATATTTCTTCCTCAACCGCCATTGAAGTGTGAAAAGGTATTTCTTAATTCTTTTTTTTCCGTTAGTTTGGTTTTTTCTAATCATGTGCTGAAAGACTTGAATATCTTAATTTTTATGTTAAAAGCTACTTTATTTATTTGAGTATCGATCAACTATTTGGTGTATTGTGGATGATTTTTAATAAGTTTGGTATACTTGAACTTGACTACTATTTCAGTTTGGTGTTCAATGAGTTTGGAGAAATATTTTTTTAGAGTACCCAAAACAAGTTTGGCGCCTTAAAATCAAAATCAACTACGCCGAGATGAAAATGTCAACCAAATAGAAATATCATCTCACTCTTCCCAAAGACAAGAATTTGATGTAAATGATTTAAAGGTTGATCCAGCTGAAAGAACTCCAATTTTAAATTATCATCCAAACATTCGTGATGAGATGAGGGCATACATCATTAAAGGTCCTTGTCAACCTCAAAATCATCAGTTTCCTCAAACTAATTTTTTTGGAACACCACGTCGTTTTGTTTATACGTGGTTTGATGAATATCGTGGTTGGTTGGAATACAGAATTAGTGCGGATGCTGCTTATTGTTAACCTTGTTATTTGTTTCAAGGAGAAAACATTAATCAAGGTGGTGGTAATGTATTTTCGACTAAGGGATTTACAAATTGGCATAAAAAAGATAGCTTTGCTACACATATTGGTCTACCGAATAGCGTTCATAATCAATCCAAAAGAAAGTGTGAAGATCTCATGCGAGAACAACAATCCATTCAAGCCGCATTTTACAAGTTGGATGATAAAAGTAAGCATGAATATCGGATTCGGTTAAACACTTCAATCGATGTGGTAAGACTTCTCTTGGATCAAGGTTTTGCATTTCGTGGTCATGACGAGAGTGAATCATCATTGAACAAGGGTAATTTTCTTGAAGTTCTTTCTTGGTTAGCTGCTAGATGTGATGCAATTAAACCTTTTGTGTTAGAAAAAGCTCCAAAAAATAATAAAATGACTTCTCATGACATCCAAAAAGATATTGTGACTGCGTGTAAGATTGAAATAGTTAAGGCAATAATAGAGGACATAAATAGTGACTACTTTGATTTATTGGTTGATGAATCTAGAGATGTGTCATGCAAAGAGCAAATGGCTATTTGTCTAAGATATGTTGACAAAATGGGATTTGTGATGGAGGTATTTATTGGACTTGTTCACATTAAAGATACTAGTGTTTTATCTCTAAAGAAAGCAATTGTAGATGTACTTGCTCACCATTCTTTGACTTTATCTAATGTACGTGGGCAATGTTACGATGGGGCAAGTAATATGCAAGGTGAGCTAGGTGGTCTTATAACGTTGATTAGACAAGAAAGTAGATCGGCTCATTCTGTTCATTGTTTTGCTCATCAACTTCAATTGACTCTTGCTGCGGTTTCTAAAAAGTGTGTTCAAGTAGGTGAACTTGTATTATTAATTTCAAATATTTTGAATGTGTTGGGAGCTTCTTTTAAACGTGTGGATAATTTTCGAGAATCTCAAAAAAAGCATCTCCAAATGGCATTGGATATGGATGAACTAGAAACGGGTAGAGGGTTGAATCAAGAACTTGGTATTTGTTAAAGCCGGTGATACTCGTTGGGGATCTCACTACAAGTCATTTGGAAACTTTATTAGTAGTTTTGACTCTATTGTTGATGTACTTGATACTCTTGTTGAAAATGCAAGTACTTTGGAAGAAAGAGCAAGCGCATCGGGATTTCTCAGAAGTTGTCAAACGTTTGAGACTATTTTCTTGTTGCATTTAATGACAGATGTTTTAGGAATCACAAATGATCTTAATGTTTCATTACAGAAAAATGAGCAAGACATTGCAAATGCCATGATTCTTGTAAAGGTAGCAAAGAGAAGGTTGCAAGCTTTAAGAGATAATGAATGGGATCCTCTCTTTAAAAAAAATATTGGATGGGATTCACTTAAAGAAAAGGTAGAAGCATTTTGTATCAAGCATGGCATTTCATTACCCAATTTTGAAGATCCATATACTAATTATGGGAGATCACGACGTAATGTAGTTATTTGTACTACTTTGCATCATTATCGTGTGGATGTGTTTTATAAAATCATTGATTGGCAACTACAAGAACTTAATGATCGTTTCAATGAGGTGACAAGTGATTTGCTTAATGGAGTATCTTGCATGAATCCAATTGATTCATTTTCTAGTTTTGACATAAAAAAGATAATGAGAATGGCTGAATTATATCCTGATGATTTTGATGGGTCCAACATGAGAGCTCTTGAGAATCAACTTGTTAATTACATTATTGATGTTCGTGATATTGATGAAAGGTACTTCAATTTGGGTGGACTTGGAGAACTTTCAAGAAAGTTGGTTGAGACAAAGAAGCATTTAATCTATTCTCTCGTATTTCTTTTAGTGAAGTTTGTTTTGCTTCTACCTGTTGTCACTGCTACAGTTGAAAGAGCTTTTTCGGCAATGAAGATTATCAAGAATGACTTGCGAAATCGAATGGATGATGAATTCTTAAATGGTTGCATAGTGCCTTATGTAGAGAAAAAAGTATTTAAAGATGTTTCTAATGAGTGTATTATGAAAATATTTCAAGAGATGAAGTGTCGTCGAGTGCAATTGTAGTTACCACTTTACAATTTACATATTTTGGTGTATATGAAACTATCCGTCAATATATTTGTCCTACTTCATCTTCCTTAGTTTATTCATTGATATTTTGTAAGTTTCTGTTTTAAGAATTTTCATTTTGGATAGTTGGTTAATTTGATATTGAGGTATGACTATTTTGAAGCCAATCTTTATAATCTGACTAGCAAGGTTTATTTTTTTACTTGTCCAAAAGTATGAACACCCTTGGCGAAAATCCTGGCTCCGCCATTGTTGGAGACGGCTCGCTGGAGCTGCTGGCTGCTGGCTCCTGCTCGCCAGTGGAAAAGAGGGAAGCAGCGATGGGAAAGGGAGGAGAAGAAAGAGATTGGCGCCGGGGTTGCTGCTGGTCGCAACTGCTGCTAGTCGCCGGAGCGAGGAAATAGACGGGGGCGGCTGCTGGAGAGAGATAGAGGAGAGAAAATGTGAAAAAAATGTTTTTTTAGGGTTTAGGTCTCTTAGCACTAAAATAGAAAGTTAAAAGGATTGATCTCGTCCGTTGATTTAATAAGAAATGAACGGTTAAGATTTATCTTAAAGGATGGATGGATGAGATGGGAATTGCAAGGGATTTAGAATGGCCAAAATTGCAATAAAATTGGACTAGAATTGAAATGAAAAGGTGGTTATAATTGCAATACAATTGAAATTGAGTAGGCTAGAATTGAAAGGAATTAGAATAAAATAGGCTACAATTTAAACAATTTTGAGGAAAATTTAAAAAAATGCTATTCAATTAAAATACTACAAATATTATAATATTTGTTATATAATTAAAATCACTTAATTTTAAAACATTTGAGTAAAATAATTATTTCGAGTTTTACTAATAATTTTAAAAATATTTTAATAATATTTACGATAATTTTATAAAGCATGCGTATTAAAATATATAATTTTTATACAAAATCGACTAAAATCTTGAACTCGAAATATTTTTAAAATACGCATTTAATCGAATGGCATCCCCAAAAGGGTTAAAGGTCGGACAAAATTGGGTGTCAACAACGGGACATTTCACTTGAGTTTCTTTTTAGTACTTTTTATTTTTGGATTATGTTGTTGGGGTTGTGACCCGATTTTTACTCATAAATTGTAATAGATGGCTAATTGAGACAAGTCTAGACTTCCGCTTTCCTTTATAAAGATTTTTGGACTTAAATGTGTTTTTACTCTTATTGTTCTACTACTTTATGTTATGATATGCTAAGTGGTTTACATGGTGCCTTTCGGGGTTCTACGTGTCTTGTTACGCTTAGGAGGCACCCCTTGGATCGTGACACCACCCCACCCCTCCGCCTAGAGGCGCCACGCCCTGAGCCCCCAACCCCACCCCACCCCGCACACCCCTAGATCTAGAGGCGTCGCACCTTGAACAGCCCCCACCCCACCCCTCTTTCTCGAGGCATCGCGCCTCGAGCCCCCCACCTCATACCCCATACCCCACACCTCACACCCCGGCCTAGAGGCGCCGTAACTCGAGCCTTTTCCAACCCAACCCACCTCAAGGCCTCGAGGCGTCACCTCCCGAGGCCTCACCAACCCTACCCCTCAGCCTCGAGGCGTCGGGCCCCAAAGCCCCCCCCACCCACCTTCCGGCGTCCAGGCGCAGAGCACCGAGGCCCCCCACACACCTCCCGACCTTGAGGTGTCGCACCCCGAGCCCCCCACCCACCCAGATCCCATCCTCGAGGCATCGTGCCTTGAGCCCACCCTCTCAACCCAATGGCCTTGAGATGTCGTGCACCAAGACCTCACCCATTCAACCCCCCGACTTTAAGGAATCTCTCCCCGAGGCCTCACACACCCCACATCTCGGCTTCGACAAGTCGCACCCTGAGGCCCCCCCACCAACCCCACAGCCTCGAAGCACCACCCCCCGAGGACCCCCAACCACCCAGCCTCGAAGCGTCGAGCCCCCCCAACCCCCCGGCCTCGAGACGCCTCCCCCGAGCCCCTAGCCTCGAGGTGCCGCGCCCCGAGCCCCTTAACCCACCCCACCCCTCGGCCTCGATGCGGCCTCCCCCCAACCCACCCCACCCCACTACCTCGAGACGCCCCTCCCCCCCAACCCACCCCACCCCTCAGCCTCGAGGCGCCCCCATCAAAATCCCTTGGCCTCGAGGCGCCGCGCCCCGAGTCCCCCAATCCCCACTCAACCCCCACCCCACCCCACCCCAACTCCCCCTCCCCCCTTCGGCACTCTCAAGTAGCCCAGGTGTGTCACCTCGAGGTTTCCTCCACCCCCCACCTTCGAGGCGCCGCGCTCCGAGCCCCCTCCCCCCATCCCTCACACCCCTGCCTCGAGGCGTCGCGCTCCGAGGCCCTTCCCCCCTCTCCTCCGACGTCCTGAAGTCCCCACCCACTCCCTCGAGGCATCGCGGCCCAAAGCCCCCCCAACCCCCTGCCTCGAGGCATCGATCCCCGAAAGCCCAGCCCTCTGCCTCGAGGCGTCATGTCCTACAACCCCACCCCTACCTCGAGGCGCCGATCCCCCCACCCCCACCTCCTGCCTCAAGGCATCGTGCCCTAAGCACCTCACTCCACCTTATAGCCTCGAGGCGTCAAAACAAAAATAACTAAATATAATCCAATAATCAAGAGAGAGAGATTCATTATAAGAGACGAAGAGAGTTCACAAGAAAAGTTAACAAAAGAAAGTAAAACATTGATATCATCAAAACAAGCTAAGTAGATTGCCCAATTTAGATGCAAAGGCAGCATTCAAATATATATAAACATTATAAGTAAAGTAATTGCTTTATTTAAAACTAAAATGAGAGACGAGTTTTAAGAGTCGCCACTTAATTTTAAAGTAGAATTAAGAATACTAATTTTTTCCAAAAGATTAAAATAGAAATCAATTGAAAATATTAAAAGATTCGAGGTTCATAGTAATGTTTTAGGAAGTGTTTAAAGGCACCTAAAACACTCGCTAACTTGCGATGGTTATCCGATAATTAAAATATTTGGTTAAATTATTTTCAAAAGGAGTAGGCGTATGTAACTAACTAAGAAGTAAACATTTTTAAAAATTTAAAGTTATCTTAAGGGGGAAAGGGGAATATTAAAAATATACTTAAGTAAAACATTTTTGCAAATATTCTAAAGTCAAGTAAAACAAAATATACTTATTTATTTTTTAAAAGATATGATTAATTCATTTTTGTGGAAATGAATTAGGAAAAAACCTTAAAATTAATTAAACACACAAGCATGCAAAATCAATTAAATAACAAACGAGAGAACATGTGGGCCCAAGTCCAGTTTCTGTCTTTCACCTGGGCCGGTACTTGAGCCTAAATTCAACTTTGGGTTTTTGGCCCATTTGTACATGTCCTAATAACTAACAAAGTATGCTAATTTCATCCATTGGGTTTTTGGCCCAATTCTTTCCCTTTGTACCTATCCTAATATCTAACCAATAAAGCCAAAATAAATGGGTTTTGGCCCAATAATTACAAAAATGCAAAGCTGAAATTTTTATATGGGCTTTTGGCCCTAATTTTGTTGTATATTGAGGTTGTATCAGTCCATTTTCTTGCTTCCGAGACTTGTTATTTAGCTTCCTTTTTACCCCTGAACACCGGGAATTGACTCGATAAAGGAAGCCTCCATGGCCCAACAAAATGCAAGAATCTAGTCCAAAATGAACTCGGGTTGACCCACGATTCATGCATAAGAAGAAAAGAGAAGGAAAACAGTTAGATTCACGCCAATATTCACATATAATTACACATATTTAAGAAAATATCACGTTCCTTGGAGGAAAGACCAACAATGGCTTTATGCTATTTGTGAGTGCCAATAACACTGTAAGAGCAAAGTAGAACAGATTCAGACCAATACTAACATGCAAGTCATAACTATAAGCCAAAATTAAGCTACTGCTTTGCTAAAATATAGGATAACCAAAATTTCGTTTTTTAAATAATCATATCACTACAATGAACAAAAGGGGGACGATTCAATTGGAAAGAAAACAAGATTAGAACTTAAAGCTCTGTAACAATTATGCTATAACTTACTAAAAAAAACCAAGCAGGTGGTCTTTAATGGAAACTAAGAAGGAACCAATGAAGGAAAGTTATAACCAAAACTGACAGGCAAGGAGGAGAAAAATCACACTATCTTCAATAGGTGAAAGCAAACTAAATTGAACAGGGGAAATTCTTCAGATATTTAAACTAAAGCTTAGACAAGTACAAAATTTAAAACAACTACGGACTCAAAACGACTATAATCTAGATATATAAACTTAAACGAGCTGAAAAAGAATTACTACAATCAAACCCACATTAACGAATCAGATAGAGTCAATTTCAAACAAGCTCATATAAGAACATGAACCGACTTTACAAAGAAAGGCTCATAACAACAGATGAAGCAATTTAAAGGCTAGGTTATTGAGGTTGAACAACATGAGACATTCAAAATCGTAAAGACACACAAAAAAGAATAGCAAGTTGTTTGAACATAGCACTAGAAATTCGAAAATAGAGTAGAGAAGTGGTTGTATCCAGAAATAGCAATGTAAAGAAGCTGATCAACACATTTTATTAAAGCCACAAGTTATGCTAACATACATTCGAAATCCGATTTAACAAGCTTAAACATGTATGGAAACTATGAATTTATTTGGATTAATGACATATATAAGAGAAATGGGTTCTTTCCTATCTTCAGATTGAAATAAACCAATGTAGACATCATTCATGGGCTTAAAATTTTCACAAAAAGATGGAAGAGAATAGAACACGATCAGCAACATAATGTATAATATAACAGAACCAAACAAGCATAGAGACAAAAAACAAATCAAGAATTCTACCAAGCTTAAACGTCTGAAATCAAATTATAAAAGGCAACAAAAGCCTTGGAAGAGATGGAATAAGATGAGCGAGTTAAAAGGAGTTATACCACCACCACCACAAGTGAGGATCCGACGAACTCTAAGCAGTGGACAAGAAAGCGAACTCAAAACTAAACTCTAAACTCCGATCATTCAGAGTTTATATATTCCCAACCCAAAATCAGTTATTTCCAACCTTTACACTGAATGGGAAAAAAACAATTTATAGAAGAGGATTGGGGAATGAAAAAGGAGGGAAATCTGAACCATTTTGAATTCTTCTTAAGGAGAACGTTGGAGGGCAACCGAAAATTGATAGGAGCCGCACGTTGGATGAATCTCCAACGGCTCTATACGAGAGGATAAGGACACTCGATTTTCTGGACTGGGCTCGCGATTTGCTGGAGCTTGTGTTTCGCACTTTGTTGGTCCACGTGGAGAAGAAAGACGCTATATAGAATGGGCTGGAATGGGTCAGTTATTGCTGAAATTGAATTGGAATTTGGGTCGGTTGTTGTATGTAATGTTGTAATGGGTTTTGTTTTGTTTTGGTATTGTAATTGGGCTTGGATAATCTGAAAATTGTTTGGGGTTGCTGAAAGTGTTTTTGGGCTGAATAAATGGCCCAATTTTGGGTCTTAAAGAATTGAATAAATGGCACACAACATGACAGCCTATAGACTAAATTGGTAAAAAATAGCCCATTTTTAATTTATTGGCAAAAAAGGGACTTTTTATTTATTTATTTGGCATTCAATAGTTATTTTTCTTTTTTCTTAAAAAATGTATTTTTGTTCCCCTTATTTTTCTATAAACACGTTTGATTGCTCTCTTTTTTTTCTTTAAAAGGTAAAATTTATTGTTTTATTATTCCTCTTTTTTCTCTCCTTTTTGTTTGTCAACCATTTTAAAATAGACTTCTTCTCTTTTTTGTCTCATTTTTTTTCTTTCTAGAAGTCTTTTTATACATATATTTGTTTCTCTCCCAAATTTTCTATTTTTCTCCTTAATTTACTTTCTTTATGAAAATGATATAACAATATGTTTATTCATGGATACTTCTAATAATCATCTTTTATACATAATCTTGTTCTTGTCCAATTAATTGTTGAATTTTATGATTTGTGGAATTGAAGTTTTTTCAATTTTGTTTTTGCGAAAATTTAGGTTATTAATCCTTTTTTTTAATTTTCATTCTAAAATCTTTTTCCTATGTATATTTGTTGCTCTTCTAATTTTTTTCTTATTCTCCTTAATTTACTTTGTTTATTTATGCAAATCAGATGTATGATTATCCATTGGTCCTCCCAAAATCTTCTTTTAATATATAATTCTGTAGTGTTTTTTCCCACTTAATTTTGAAATTTGTGATTTGTGAAATTAAATTTTTTTAAACTTTTTCTTGGCAAAATTCAGGTTATAGTATTTGGAATTTTTGTTTTCAATTTCATGGGTTTATATCTTCTCATAAGATTCTCGTAAAAAAATAGAATGTTGATTTTGATGAATACAAACCAATGTATACCAATAAATGTCAATCTCAATTTGAATAAATGTATACAAATTTATTAGGTGAATATAGATCAATGAATACATAGATGAATACGAACCAATGTATACATAGTCCAGTTACCGTATACATAACAAAAATCACATGTACAATTTATGAATAAAATTTAAAGAGAAAATACATAAGATCCCCCCTGAACTTGGCAGCAAAATTTACTTTAACACAATTTTATGGGTAGTTATTTACCCCCCTAATCTCTTTTCAAGTGAATTAATATCACCCTAAAATTATAATATCAGTCTCACAATGGTAAGTGCATTCCATATGCGCCATGTCATTGATATGTCAACACCACATCATTGCCACATTAGCACCACGTAGAACATTATTTAATTTTTTTTTGTTTCTTTTTATTTATTCTCAATTTTAGAAAGCAAAAAAATTTCAAAAAATGAGATCCATGCTCCTTAACTCAGTCACGATTGCAATTGAACAAATTCGCTCACAATTGAAAGATCAATCCAAAATGTCAAAATCATTCTTACAAAAACACATTCAATTTTCACATTATTAAGACAATAAATAATGGCTGAAAGTTTAATTTGAAATGAAGAAATTATAGATTTTTCATTAAAAAGAGCTTCAAGTTCATCACATTCAAACACTACCATAAACAATAATTTTGAAGCAAGAACAGTTGTTGGCTTTTCTATTTTTTTCCTATTCATCATACTTTTACGGATCAAAAGGAAATGGAGGTGGGGTCAAGGCATTCCAAAGAAAGAGAAAGAAGATGGAAAGTTCAACGAAGAAGAAGAAGAAAAGGGTGATGCAATGGTGGTTGAGGCGGCAGATCTGAAGAGAAAGAAAGAGGGTGAGGTTTCTAACAGGAGAAATAGGGTCGAAATGGGGGTTTCAAAGAAGGAGAAACAAAAAGGTGGGGATGGTGGTTGAGGGCGAGAGGGGTGGTGGGGTGTGAGGAAGATGAAGGAAAAAAAGATTATTGGCTAAAAATAAAAAAATGGGGCCCACTTATTATTTTTCTCTTTAATTTTTGCTATTTACACGCAGTAAATTTTTTGACTTGCCACGTCAGCTGTTTGGGTGCATTTAAATTCACTTGAAAAGAGATAAGGGGGGTAAATAATTACCCGTAAAGTTAAAGTACTAAACTAAGTTTCGCTACCAAGTTCAGGGGGGATTTTATGTATTTTCCCAAATTTAAATTGTACATTTATCATATTAACTTCATACTTGTATTCATTATAGTTATAACTTATAATTGTTGGTAATATTCTTATGTATACATTATAAGTTTATGTATACATGATAGAGTTATTGTATACATAAATAAAATTTACATGCCTATTTTTATGAATATTTTTTTGTGGATACATAAAGTATTTTTTTTATGTATACATTATGTAATTGCAACTTCAATTATTGTATAATTTTTGCATACGTGTTATTACAGTTTCTAATAAAAATCATTGCCTCTTATATTATTTGATTAATTATTGTCAATTATTTGATAATTAATACACGTCAATTGAGCACTAATAATATATATTTTTTACCTTAAAAGTAGTCAACGTCTTTTGATAAGTTAATTAAAGAATTAAAAAAAAAATCCTCCCTTAAAAGTTGATATAACCTTTTTTTAATGGGTTAATTAATAAATATATTTTTTTCATTTCTTAAAAGTAGGCAACCGTTTTTTAATAAACTATCGGTTGGTAAAAAATAAATTATAAAATTACAATCAAATATATATTTATGTTGTTGTAAACTGTGTTTAATATATATATTTTTTAAATAGAGTGATAATAAAGTTAGTTTGAGAATTTAAAGAAACTGAAAAGCTAACTTCTTTAATTATAGGAGTTAAAAATAAGGAAGAAAAAATAATTCTACATCTCCTTAATTAATGTCGGTTGGTTGCACATGGTTAAAAAAAAACTATAAAAAGTCGTTATATTCCTTTTAGGCTAATACGTGCTTCTTCTTTTTTTGGACTATTAATTGCTAATTAATATTGGGTTATATGTTGCCAATTGTATATAGTAGTTGTATGTCTGTGTCAATTCCTCAAAAGAATTGGAGGCTCGGATAGAAGATGGCTAGATTCGCAATTACAGAGATGGCTATTGGATTACAATTGTAATCAATTCCAGTTGAAATTTTAGCCGAATTGAATTTAATTGGTGAAATTGATTAAAATTTAAATAAGACGAATTAATATAGGAGTTAATGTCTTTAAAGATCATTGAACTTTGAGAAATTATCCTGAAAAGGCATTAAACTTTGTTTTGTATCAAAAATGTCACTCAACTTAAAACTTTTATCCTCAAAAATCGCTCACACATTTATCATTAAATTAAATTTAACATAATAAAATAAAATAAAACTTATGCCATTATAATCATGGAGCCATAAATAAAATTATAATCTATTTATTACCCGATGATCCATCCAAAAAATAGTTTCATCTAAAGATTAATATTGTATTATAGAAGCTATTTCAATCCATGTGTTTGCAATTCTTAGTAGAAAACTCTACACAAACAAGGTGATAATAACATTATGAACTATCGATATGCTCAATAGGTTAAAGCATAAACATGCAGAACATTATTCTAGGAAATTACAAAAAGATCGACCTTGAACTGCAACTGCATTTTCTAATGGGATAATACATATATTTGACCTTAAACTTGGCTTCAAATTTTAACTTTGACCTCCAACTTTCATAGTGCACAAACAAGCACTTTAACTATCCAACATTTTAATAAATAAACACGCGATTTTTGGAGCCAAGAGCGTGAAATGCAAACGCTGCCACGTGTATTAGTGAGCCACTCAATGGCTGCCAACTAATTAAACACTTTACACGTCAATTTTAGAACTAAAAAAAAAAATTAATTAATTAAGGGTAGAGTTGTCATTTCAACATTTTTTTCACTGTTGTGTGCCTCAAAAATTACTTCTCACTCGCGCAAAATGCGTGCACATCATGCGTTTTGCCAGGTAAGACACGCGTGTTTATTTATTAAAAGGTTGGATAGTTAAAGTGTCTATTTGTGCACTTTGAAAGCTGGAGGTCAAAGTTAAAATTTGAAGCTAAGTTTAAGGTCCAATATATGTATTATGCCTTTTCTAATCGACGGCATTCTTTAACATCATTATTTGCAAATAATTACGTTAATATTGCAGAAATAATTTAGTAGAAAGTACTAATTAATCTAAGTAACTTAATAGATTTTATAATTTTATTCAGTTGTGGGGTTCATAGTTACATGACATTAAAAAGTATTTATTTTGCTATATCAAATTTGTTTTAAGATAAATGAGTTGAGTGATTTTTTAAGATAAAAACTTTAAGTTGAGTGATTTTATTGATACAAAACAAAGTTCAATGACTTTATTAGATAATTTCTCATAGTTTAGTGATCTTTTAAGATATTAACTCATTAATATAGATTAATTAATAAGCTTCTTAATATAAACGAAATAAAATAAATAACTTAATCATAAAGCAATTAAATTAAATTATAACCTATCGAATAGTTACTAATTAACCAAATATTTAACTGAAACAAAGTCTTTTTGAGACGATTTTTGAATATTTATAAAGTATACTAAGTATACACATAATTATATAAAAATCATATTTATTAATTAAAAATTATAACATTACTAAAATTACTTGAAATAACTCGAAAAAAATATATTTGAATTTTATAAAGTCAATTATTTCAAATCGTTTGGGATTTAAGAAGCTCGATGATTAATTTATGTTGTGGAGGGTCAAAATTGTTGACGGTAAGATCATGAAAGAATGTAAAGACCATTGAAGCCAAAAGTAAATAAATTACAGCAATGCCCAAACACTAACCACATAAGAATAAGAATGCTATTAATATGACATATTATAGTGAATGCAAATGTATGTTAATACGTTAGCTAAACGGGAAAATGCTTTCTCATAACTCAAATCTAATTCAAGGATAGATATGAAATTTCTAGAGATGAAAAATTGAGCAAAATCTGCACCCAATACACAAACATTTTAAAACAGCACGATAGTAACAAGAAAAAGAGTATATAGTGGTCATCTTATTAAAAATGAAAGCATAGTCATCTTTCAAACACATTAAATGTCATAAAATGTACTTAAACTACAAAACTGAAATGTATAAATAGTAAGCATTAAGCATTAGTAAAAGTAAATTTAGCAATCACCTCATGATTTAGCAACTTTCAAAGGAGGTTAAAACCAACAGTTACAGCGATCTAACCAACATATGCAACTAATAAGTTACAACCTTCAATACTATTGGTTTTGAAAAGAGCCTAATGAAACACGAAAAATTAGTCGACTAAAGGAATTACAAAAAATAATTGAAAAGTTTATCTCAGTTTGAGCTATACAGTTGGACAACTACGAAAATCTAACTTCTACTCATACGACCTTTAATGAGGTACAAGTCATTTTTACACGTTATATTACCAAACATATGTTCAATTAGTTGTATATAGAAAAACTTGTGTTCAACAAAATTATCATATTCACTTTGTTGCACAAATAGTGCTAAAGCATAAGATTTAAAATCCTACCTTCTAATAGCAATTTTGAAATTTAAGATTTAAAATTTAAATTTCAAATTGAAGTTCAAGTTTTGTTCAAATATTATAAACAAATACTTGTCTCAAATTTAAACTTCAAATTGTGTGGTCAAACGTGTGTGTTTGGTATGAAGAAAAATGTTTTTCATGAAACATGATTTCCTAGAAAATGTTTCCTTGGGAAAAAAATTGAGTTTTTTACTTATTTTTTAGTATTTGGTAAGGAAAAAAGAAAATATTATTCTAAGGACATTTGAGGCACAATGGGATGAGGAGTGGGGTTCAGGGGTGGCGGAGGGTGGTAGTTGGGGAGATTGGGTGGGTGGGAGGAGAAAAAATAAATTTGTAATGTCATTTATACAATTTGTTTTTCTTATCACCGTTAAGGTCGAACTCATTTTCGCCATTGTTAAGGAACTTATTTCAGAATTTGATCAACCAAACATGAGATTTTCGGAAAACATATGCATATAAACAAAAACACACCCTATACATTTCCTCAATTCTCATATTTTATCCAAACTTATGTATACATTTCCTCAATTTTCATCCTAACTCATTAAAATGTGGGCTCATTTCGGTCTATGTTTTTCATTTCACTTTGTTCACGACATTATAATAATTATAATAAGAGAGCAAGCAAAAGATCATGAAATCACTAAAATTCAAAGGACATTTTTTATATATATTTACAATTAAGAAAAGAAGATTGTGACATAAATTAGGCATAACTTTTCATTTTTATCTTTATTAATTATTGTTAAATTTATGATTAAAATAACTAAACATTAATTAATAACTAATTTCAATACAAACTAATAAAGGGTAAAATTGAAAGAACATCCTAAAAGTAGTCTTGAAAATTAAACAATTAAATTAATTTGAGAAATGAAAAATGTTTGAACAATTCAATTAATTTGAAATGGAGAGAGTAATTAAGAATAAGTCAAAAAATGAACTCCAGTTTAATTCAATTTCTATAAAAGAAAATTGAATATGTTTATTATTGTTGATAGATTATACTCCCTCCGTCCACTTTTATTTGTTATGTTGTGATTTTTGAAAGTTAATTTGACTAGTTTTCAAAGTTAAATTAGATTACATTAATTCAATATTTTAAACAAAAAATTTAGATAATCAAAAACTATATGAAAAGTGCTATAAATTGCAATTTTTGCATATTAATATGATGAAAAAATACATCATAAAATGTTAATCAAAGTTTTTGTAGTTTAACGTTACAAAAGAGACAATTAAAAGTGGACGGAGATAGTATCTAGTTTCAACATAGAAATATTTGACTTAGTCATTTTTTTTCAAGAAATATA